ATGCATCTTACTCATTCAATACAGCAAATACAATAACCATACAGCATAAAATACTACTGAACTACCTTCAAGAAATTGCTTCTGTTTTACTTACGCAAACTTAACAGAGTTTAAGTGACTAAAAACCAAAGTTAGACTCAAATTACTTCAACAACTTATAACTGAACGTGGCGAGGTTGGAGTATCGAGCGAAATTTTGTTAATAACAACCTCAAATCGCCTTTGTTAGTTCGGAAACTTTCCACAAATGGCTATGCGTAGACTGTTTCAAGTAGAAAGGGTCACTTTCCACCAAGCTGAGACTTGCAGCACGGGGCACGCGGAAGGCGACAAACAGCAAATACACCCATGATTTTTTTGACGCTTCTACTTGCTTTCCAATGTTCCTTTTTATCCTATAGGTGAGCAAAGAATTCTCCTCTTATATTACTAAGGCAAAAAGCGCCGCCGACGTATAGCAAGAAATGGCGCCTCACAAGACTTTTGAAGTGCGGGAGCGCTATCTCACAAAGCTCTTCCGGATTGTGGTGCGCACGCAAGCTACAGCTGGCGCGTACAGCCTGTTTCTTTCAATCTGAATGCTGTTTTTTCCGCAAGAGCACAAGCATGTTCATTCTACGGATGTTCCTCTTGAAAGTAAAGGCCTTTTCTCCCCTGTTATCAAAATTCAATGGAAAAAAGAAACGCAGAGAGGGTACACAGCAAAAAAATAAAATCTAAATTGTCCAGTGCTTGGACAGGGACAACCACAGCATGCGGCGCTATGTTCGTGTTAGCTGTGCGATCAGAAAGCAATCGCATGTTCGATAGAGACAGACTACGTGAGCCCCATTCCCAAAACAAAATATAAATCTTTGAGCCGCGGTTTCTTAACACATAGCGGAAAATGAAAGAAAAACCCCCTTTGAAATTATTAGCATATGAAAAAGATACATAAGATGATGCAAAATGCATACCTCTCTATCGTTACGCATTTTCACATAGACACGCTCATCTAAGCTGAGTTTAATTAAGTCGAGAGGCTCTTCGACTGTACTCGATAAAACCTGGAAGGACCTCAAAGATAAGCATTGAAGTGTCATATTAATAAATTCAAATCACACCTGTGGCGCTTCCTTCTTCTCTGCCATGTCCTAAAACTTACAACGTCAATACCTATACACATATATGAAATTTGATATAAAAAGACAAAATACTCTACCGACACCTCTCCAAAAAATACTTTTGAAATTTTATTAAAACGTGCGGAATCTGCAACAACTGTGAAAAAAGGTTATTGCCAGCTTGCGTGGAAAAAGAATGGACTCATATTGACAAAGAGACGGATAAAATCACAAAGATCAACGCAATAAATATAATCGAACATTAGTGAGTCAGTATTACATAGACAAATTCACTTATAAGAAACTCTAGCTGGACTAACATAGTGGATCTTTGTGTCTACATCTAAGAACCCTATAGGACCGTATTCACAATCAGCACAAGTTAGATACTTCATACCGTCAACGGAGTTTGTGAAGCCAACATTTTCAAAATCATACATATT